ATTTCATTGTATAAATACACTAGTTTATCCATTCTGTTGCTCAGCATCGGAGCTATTCCCAGTTTTTGCCTATTATGACGAAAGCCTCGATGAACATTTTAGCTAGAATTTAGTTCAAGGCTTTCATGGGTAAATACTTTCATTTCTCTCGGGTGACTACCGAGGAGTAGGATGCTGGGTCCTAGGGTAGATGCATGCTGAACGTTATAAAGAAACTCCCAAATGGCCTTCTAAAGTGGTTGCACCATAAGATACATACTTCCACCAACAATCTTTTGAGAGTTTCAGTCACTGCACACGCTCCCCAACATTTGCTGTGGTCAAGGCTTCTTGATTTGTGTCATTCTGGTTTCACAGTGTGGTTTTAATTTGCATGTCCCTGATGACTGACTTCATGAGCTTATTTTGAATTTTAAAAGACAGTTCCTCTCCTTTGTTGTCATGTAGCTTTCAACCTCCATGATTTGAAGGACTGTTGAATAAAATGAGGAAGGGAAAAACTGATGGCAAAATTGACTAGAAATCTAAAGAGCTCTGAGAATACAAAAGCAAGCATGAGCTCAGCCTTGGAATCCTTCCCTTAACTTTGGTTTCCCAGGACTTGGGGGCTGAGGACATGTGTGTCTTCTGAAGAAGCCAAGATCATGGCTCACATTGAATGTTTTAATGATAAATCTGTTCCAGATTGAATAATCGTTTTCACTGCTACCATGTATAAATTACCTACTATGTTCCAGGTACCTCATATCCACACAGTATGTCTAATTTTTACAACAGTCCTGCAAGGTTGTTGTATTATCTCCATTTGGTGGATTCTGAAAATCAGAGACATGAATTCCTTTGCCTAACTCCACACAGCTATATCTCCATGGGATCCAGATTCAAAATGGGATTGTCTGGCTCCAAAATCTTGTTCACCAAGTTGCCTTCAAACACACACATACATGAATATTCAGCTATAAATAGGAATGAAGTATTGATAAGACTTCATTCTACAACATGGATGAACCTCAGAAATATCAGGCTAAGTTAAAGAAGCCAGTCATTAAAGGTCACATATTCTGAGTGTACTTATACAAAATACCCAGAATGGGTAAATCTGTACCTACAAACAGCATATTAGTGGTTTCCAGGGGTTGGGGGAAGAGGGGAATGAGGAGAAACTGCTTAATGGGTATGGGGTTTTCTGTTGGGATGACAAAAATGACTTGGAACTAGATGGGGGTTACATGACATTGTGAATATATTAAATGCCACTGTACACTTAAAGAGTTAATTTTATGTTATGTGAATTTGATCTCAGTAATATTAAAAACAAAAAACAAAAAAACCCTCCACCCTTTAGTCTCTTTCTCATTGATGAGCATAATTTTACCATTAGTAATTTAGTCCTTTGGATAGGGAAGCCTCCAGCAACTGGGTGCAATCTTTATACCCCAGAGGACCACCCCCTTGAGAATTCCAGGGCAGAAAGAGAGGGAACAGCACCATGACTCAGAGTGAGCACTAGAGTCAGGATGCCTGAATTCAATCCCAGGTACCTCCATGTCCTCATCTATGAAATGGGGATGATAATGGCACCAACCTCATAGGGTTGCTGTGAGGATGGGATGGAATCATGCATGTAAAGTGTCTCGGCACATGTAATGTTTATTCCCTAAGTTGTATTGTTAGGGCAAGCCACCTTCCCCTAATGTCATCCATGGCACAAATATTTATTGAGCATCTACTATGTGCCAGGCACTCTTCTAGGGCCTTGGGAGCTTATCGATAAGCAAGAACAATGAAATTCCTTGCTTCTTGGAGCTCACATTGCAATTGAGGTATAAGACAACAAAGTGAAATATATAGTATGTTAGATGGTGGTATATGCACAGGAGAAAAAAATAAATAAGAGATGAGAGATAGGACCTTTTGGGGAAAGGTTACAATTTTAAATTGGGCTTGAGAAGGCTTCCCTGAGTAATGATCTTAGAGAAGGGCGGTGCATCCATTTCCTATTGCTGCTGTAACAAGTAACCACCAACTTAGTGGCTTAAAACACCACCAATGTAAAATAACAACAGTTCTTGGGGCCAGGAGTCCAAAATAGGTCTCACTGGGCTAAAATCAAGATATTTGGCAGAGCTGTGTTTCTTCTGGAGGCTCTAGGGGAGAATCCATCCCCTTGCCTTCTAGGTTCTAGAGGCCGCCCACATGCCATGGCTCATGGCCCCACATTACTCCAACTTCTCATCATCACATCTCTGACTTTCCAGCCGCCCTCTTTTCCTTATAAGAACCCTTCTGATTATATTGGGCCCATTTGAATAATCGCTCCATCTCAAGATCCTTAATTATACCTGCCAAGTCCTTTTGGCCATGCAAGGTGACAGAGTCCCAGGTCCTGGGGATCAGGACATGAACATCTTTGGGGGGCCATTATTCTGTCCACCACTTAAGTGGAAACAGCAGGTTCAAAGCCCTGAGGCAGGAGGTGCCTGGAATGTTTGAGGAAGATGGAGCCAGACAGGCTGCAGCAGAGTGGGTAAGGCGGGAGTGGTCTCGCACAAGGTCAGAGAGGAGAAGGAGGTGGCGTGGCTCTCGCAAGCCCTGAAGGGTCCCAGTGAGGACTTTGGCCTTTACCGGAGTGAGATGGGAGCAGGTAAGGGACGTGATCTCAGGAGTTTTAACAGGATCCCTCTGGCTGCTATGTCGAGAACAGACTATAAATGAGAAGGCTGCTGCAGTATCTGGGTGAGATGCTGGTGGCTGGACCACGGAGGTACAGGGAAGTGGTGAGGTGGGTCTCATTCTGAATTTTGAAGGTCAAGCCACAAGGAACCACTTAAGAAATGGAGTGTCACAGAACGAGGGGAGTCAAGGGTGACTCCAAGGGTTTTGGCCCAAGCAATCGGAAGAATTAAAATGCTCTTTAAGATGGGAAAGACCACAGAAAGATCAGACTTGAGACTTCTGGTGAGAGATCAGGGGTTTGCTTTGAGATGCACATTGGGTATCCAAATGGAGATACTGAGTAGGAAGTCAGATATGAGAGGGGGTCTGGAGGGATTTTGGGGGGACAGCACATAGGTGCTATTTTAAAGCATGAGCCTGGATGAGATCTCTAAGAGAGTACGTGCAGAGGCAGGAGGACCAAGGACTGAAACCTGGGCCCCTCTGATGAGAGGGAACCAGGGGTATTGGGAGAAAAACCAGAGGAGGTGGGGTCCTGGAAGCCAAGAGAGCCAAATGCTACAAACTGTCCACAGTAAGTATGGAATGAGCGGGGGTGGGTGGAGCAGAGGGCAACCCCCGTCACTTTCCTGGGCCTGTTCTCTGGCAAACAGCCTCTACAGGAGACAACTGAAGGGAGTTGGACCTGCTGAAGATCTTGCCAGGCCCCCAGCAGATTAGGGACCTTCACAGCACCAAACCTATTGACATGCACTGAATATTTGTTAAATACCAAGGAAAGGGCCGTGGACTTGGGTTCAAGTCCAAGTTCTGGCATCTCAAGTAGTCAGGGCTTCAGTCTCCCCTCTCTAGGACGGAGATGATGCACGCTCATCCCTTAAGTTCCCCCCCATCAGTCATGACATTGGGGAAAGTGTCTGGCAAACTGTAAACAAGCGGGACCAGTCCCGAGCTACCACAGGTCAGTCCTTTTCCTGGGCACCTGACTCAGGGCGTGTGGCTGGACCTGCAAGACCCACCCCACGCCACGTGAGGCCTTCGACTCGGTTTTTCTCGAGCCTCTTTGAGGATAAGCAGCTTCTTGCTCAGCAACAGGAACTGGGGAAGGAGGGGGCCTGGTCCCAGTGGAAACTCTTAACACACGCATGGATGTTCACAAGTGTTTCCAGTGACTAAGGGCCACACAAAGCAGCTGGCTGGTTCCTTCCTGACCACTTGTCCCAGAATGGCAGCAGAGCTGCTCTGACCAGAGCCGCCCCCCAGTTCTGGTCATCCTCGGCCACACGTCCCACTTCTGTGGGGGTGAGCCCTTCCTTCACCCCCAGGGCAGGGTCCAAGCTCCCCCCTTCCCACAGCAGCAGACAACACACAGGGGATTCAGCAAGCACATCAGTTTATTGACATTTACTTGCCAAAAACAACTTTTCCTCACTGGTCAAGGGATGAAAAGAATGGTGGGGCAGGGGGAGGATGAGGGATGTGGGGTGTTGTAGAGGTGGGAGCCAGAAGTGCTACAGTGGGCTGAAAAGAGGCTGGTCTGAGAGCAACAAGACCCCCATTTCAGAGGCTCAGAAAGTTTGGCCTAAGAGACATGCACTCAACCAAATCCCTTCCATCTGCTGGAGGAGAACCAGGCACTGCCCTGGCCCGGGTCTCCTGCTGGTTCTCACACAGGGCATCTTTCAGACCTGGCTGTTGCACTTGTGGGACCATGAACATCACAGTGGCCACGCGTCTTGAGCTAAACAAACAGGTGAGGCCTGGCCTAGCTTTATCTGCGCAAGCAGAGACAAGGTGACTGATCAGCAGGGAATCTGTGGTGCACAAATAATGGGAGAGGGTGGTGCCTGAAAGCATTAGATCATGACTCTAAAATGTAGTGTCAATCCGTAAGGTGGGTGACTAAAGGCTGGACTCCATGACTAAGTAAAACATAACTCTGTGAGCTGACCTGACTTCTGAACAAACAGACCTCTAAGACTGTCTCTGCTCATAAGGTGTTTCCATCCCCTTGGCCCTAAACCATCATGGAAACAGAAGAAGAGGAAGTGGTGGTCTGCCCAGCTGGGGCCTGGGACTGTCAGGGTGTCCCAGCCACCTCAGACCCTGAGCCTGGGACGGAGCGAGGGGACAGGACGCTGAGTCCCAGCAGGGCTGCCCCTAAGGCCCGTGCCCCTCTCGCCTGTTCCACAGGCCTGTCTTCTACCGTTTCTTCTTGGCCTCCTTCTTGGGCCTCTTGTTCGTGGAAGGAGCAGCAGCCTTGGGCTTTCTTGTCACCTCCCCGCTTCTGGGCTCAGATGGTTCTGCCTCCTGCGTGGTGATAAAACAAAGAGTTCTGCTTAGAGGAATCAAACCTGACACCAGCAAAACGAGATCATGTCTGAAGGGACTATGCAAACTAAAGCACGCCATAGAAACACAAGGGATGGACACCGTGGGTGGACATGTCCACAGGACTGCCCCAGGAGCAGGACAGTTCTCGGGAAAAATAAGGGAGGCCCGAAGGGGACGGGGAAGCCTTTGGAGTCTCACAGGCCTGGGAGAAATCTAGGCTCCTCCACGTTCACGTTCTAGCCAAGTGACCTTGTGGGCAACTCGCTTCTCCTTTCTGCGCCTTGGTTTACCCCGCTGTGAAATGGAAACAGCGATGCACACCGTGGAGGGCTGATGTGAGGAAGCAACAATGCATGGAGGGCACCAGTAAATGTGGCTGGACCCAGAGGCTCACCCTGGGCAGGGTCTGGTCAGAATTTGGATGAGAAGCCAGCCGTGGGGCAGCCCCGCTGTGGCTTACTCTCCTGACCCTGCTGTTCTCCCATTCCACCTGCTGAATGCCAGGGCCGGGAGGCGTGGAGTAGCTGCGCTGTTCGGTGGGGCCTGGCAGAGGTGCCTCATGGGGGAGGGCAGGGGGCAGCCGGGGCAGAGCTCTAGCTTCTCCCTAGGACTGGAGGAGCTTTAGTTTCTATGTCGTGTATGTTGTGATTTCTTCCCTGTGAGGTTTGGTTTAAACAAAGGTTCTGCTGCTTAAAAAAGGTTCCAAACCGCAGATCCAGCCCTGGCCTTCGTTGTGCTGATAAAGAAAGTAGGCTCTGGGGAAGGGCCGTGGCCCACGCCAGCCACTCAGGCTCATGTCAGAAGAATCTGGAGGACTCAGTCCTGCTGAGTGTCCCCTCCTCCCCGGGGTGATCAAGCCCAGTGGGCCACAGCCAGGCGGAACATTAGCAAGGGCCGTCTCGCTCAGAGAACACTAACGGCAGCTCCCGGGCCTTGTCCGGCCCACAGGCGGACTGCACTTAGCCTGCCGAGTTTATTTTTAAGAATTTGAGCCAGCTGGGAGACTTCCCATTCAAATCTGGATTCCTAGCTTTCTTGAAAACATCCAGTGACACTAGCCCTGAATCCCTTCCTGGAAGAAATGGGGTGAGTGGCAGCTGCCCCCTTTATTCAAGAGTCATGCCCCCCAAGGCCCTGGTGCCCCCCAACACAATGGTAAGAAAATGCTTCTCAGAACCTGTACTCTTTTATTAAAAATGGGACAACAAAAAGCAGACAAGAATATGAGGAGTGAACACACTTTTTCTGGAAGAGAAAAATATTTCTCCCTGTTTAATTGGCCAACCCCTAGCTTCCAGCTCTGTGCTTCCCAGCTCATCCATCAGCCCCTGGCCCAGGCCTCTGCCCTATAGAGGAGGCAGGACCTTGGCTGGGGAGGGGCCGTTCCCACCCAGAGGCCCAGTCCAGAGGCCTGGCAGCTCCCGCTTCTTGGCCAGCATCGTCTCCTCTCCACCCTGCCAGCAGAGACACCCGATGTAAAGGCTCTGCCCAGTCCCAGGCACCCACGGGTGATCTTCCCAAGATAATGAGGGGGCCAAGCCCTTCCTCTGGCCAGGTCTCTGATTGCAGCTCTGGACTCCCCCAGCCTCTCCCTCTGTGCTGACACGGTTTATGTAACTTGGCAAAAAAAGAAAAAAGAAAGAAGCCCATCAGAAAAACAAACAAACAAAACAAAGCAAAACCTCAGAGGAGCCAGTGTCAAGTGCACAGGCTGCAGAGCTCAGCGGGAAGGCTACTGTTTAAGGCAAACGCCACAGGGCACAATGTCTTTGGAGACCTTGGGAGCTGGAAACCATTCCCAGCGCAGTATCTGTCGGTCCCTGGAAACCAGTGGGACCCGAGCACCCTGAGCAATCAGGCCCGGATCAGGTGAATGGTTTATACATGGGGAACTTGTCAAGGCCGGCCAGCATCTCCAGCAGCCCCACTCTGACCTCAAGGCTGGGTGCCTCCTCAGGTTTCAGTGGGGCCGGTTCAGACGCCCCAGGGATGGTGACACCCAGCTGCCATCCCTTTGCTTCCCTCACTCCACAGACCTTCTGTCAGGTGCCGCATCTTCTCTGGCACCTCCCAGACCTCTCTGCTGATCCAGCCGTCTGTCAGATGACTGAGGCTGGATGGAGTCTGCCAGGCACCTCCACCTCAGCTGTCCCAGACCAAGCACGGCCCCTTCTCCAGCAGGCCGGGCCCTCCTTCCCACCTGTGGGCAGAGCAACCAGAGTCCCAGTGACCCCACCCTCTCCCTCCTCCCCACTGTCCAATCAGCCACCAAGTCCTGTTGATCTGACCTCTTCTACTTCTTGACTCGGCCACTCTCCTTAGCATCCAAGTCCCTACGTCAGTCCCCCCACTGCTAACCCACCTTCCTGCCCTCTCTGTGCCATTCCTCGTGCACCTGCCAAAGGAATGTTTCTAACGTGCACATCCCCCACCTGAAGCCTTCCAGTGGCTTTCCATCACCCACAGTCTCATGTCCCACATCTGGGGTGGCATCTAAGCAGGCCACCTCTCCAGCCTCATCTGTGCTCTTCTCTACCCCACACTGGGTCAGGCCCCAGGGCTTCCACTGGTCTCCCCTAACAAGAGGAGCACCCTTCTTTCCTCGGCCTTCCCGTAAACCCCAAGCCAGGGTTTGGCCAAGAACACACTCCTACTCACTATCTAGCCTTCCTTCTCTGCTCCGCTCCTTCTAGCAGAGTACATTCCTCCCTCCCCCCCTTCACCCCTCCTCCACACCTCCCTCCCGCCACCCCCCACCTCCGGAACCTTATAATGCCACTGTAGTTACATGTACCATAGTTACATGTTTTCATGTTGGTCTCCCCTGCTAGCCTGTGAGCTCTCTGGGACAGCTTTAATCATTGCTGAATGAAGAAATAAATAAAGGATGAATGAATGAAATGAAGGAACTGGCAAGAGCCCCCATAATCATGGGAACTTCACTCTTGTTTATCTCCATGAAAACACAACTGAAGACTGGGCCTCACTTTTTCCATGGGCACAGAGGATTTTAAGCCCCGTATACATACCCTAACTATGGCTAGACATAGCAACCAATAATAACAGTAACAACAGCCAGAGCAGCTGCTAATATTATTTACAATATGCCAGGCCCTGTGTTATGTGGTCTGGACATATCTTATTTTAGCCTCACAAAGTGCCCTAATGAGCCCCCATTTTGTAGATGAAAGAAGAGATACTTAGAGAAATTGTGGCTTGCCTAACATCTCAGCTGGTGAGTGGCAGAGCCAGCATTCGAACCTAAGCTCTTAACAGTTACAGAGGATAGGCTCTCCCAAGTTCCCAAGGGACCTGAAGGTTAACGGAGATGGAGAGTCTGAGTTCACTGTGAACTTGACTTTCTCTCTGTGCAGCAGCCCTTGGAACCACAGGTGACCATGGCAGGAAAAGAACAGCCTATTCTAGATTCTATCTGTCGATAGGTCATTCAGAAGCCCCTTGTTTGTGACTCAAGTTCCCACAGGAGTCAGGAAAGCCGGTTAATGCTCCCCGAGTCATGCTTTATTTTGTAGCTGAAATCAGCTCTCTGTGGGCATGTGTACATAGTACAGCCATCGAGTCATCTGCATGTATTATGTCTCCTCCTCACCCAGACCTCTCCCTCTCTTCCCCAGCTCAGTTTCTGGCATTATCACCCACCCAGTTACCCAAGCTAGAAAGCTCCGCGTCATTTCTGAGTTCTCGTTGTTCCCTCGTGCCCCACATCCAATCTGTCATGTCCACTCTACCTTCCAACAGGCTCCTGCCTCGGCCTGGTCGCCTCCGGACACGCACTCCTGTGCTGGTTCAGACCCCACGGTCTCCTGCCTACCTCTTTCAATGCACCAGCCTCCCACCAGCCTCACCACCCGCCACATTGCTTCAGAGTCTATTCTCCTGAGACAACAGTTTTAGGAGACCATTTTTTGCTTTAAAAGTGTTGCTGGTGCCCTCTTCGTATAAGACAAATTCCAAGAGCCTCAGAGTGGCCTCCAGGGCCATTCCGCTCCAGCCTTGACCCTATCTCTGGACACACCCCATCATGCATCCCACCTTGTTACTCAGGGCTACTGGCCAAGCCAGCATCTCCCAGGTACCCTGTTCCCTTTCACGCTCTGCATAGGCGCTCAGCATTCATCACCTACCTATTGTGTCCACGGGGTAATGACAAAGACAATGCACTTAGTGACGTGCACCAAGTAGGTGCTTTACAAACATCAGCTCACTGAGCCTCCCATCACCCTGGCAAGCCAGCCACTGTGAGCCCCATTTCACAGGTGAGGAAACAGGCTCACTGACACTCAGTGACTGGCCCGATGGGGGACGGCCATCTTCCCCCAACCTGCGGGGAAGCAAAGACAACTGTTACGCACGATTCGGATGCTGGGGTCCAAGTCACACAGAGCTGGAGCTCCAAATTCCTGGCTGGCAAGAATGACTGAATGAATGGCTGACTTTTCATTTCTCTTCACACGCACATTGCTGGTACAAGCCAGGCAAACAACAGGTTCTGAACGCTACAGCCCCACCTTTAAATCTGGGAACACCTCGCCTCCTCTGAAGCAAGTTTTAAGTTTCCTCGGCAATCACACTGTCAGGGGTAAAAGAAAACCTGGCTGGCCAGGAGGTTCCCGAGTCTGCAGAGATGTCCTCTGTGGACACAGCTCTCATCAATAACAAAGCAGCCCCCACAACCACTTACGAGGCCAGAAAATTGCTGCTATTCATCAGATTCAAATAATCGAAATCTGTGCCACAATGCATCAAATCCCTTCCAGCAGGGACAGCACACAGAATTTTATGATTTCCCCTATACAGTTCAGTGTGGATTTAGGCCTATAAATCAGGACAGAATGTCATTCTACAACAGACTGAAACTATTCTTTCCTCTAAAATGGCCCAGGGAAAGAAAACCACTGTGCTCGGCTCAGGTAGCCCCACACACCCAATCTCACTTGACCCTTAAGAACTCTGTGGGTCGGGCATGAATGCCCTCCTGTTACAGCTCAGGACACAGGCTCAGGGACATGGGGGTGGGCCGGCACCCAGACCAGGTGTGCCGGGTGCCAGAGCTCCTGCTGTCCGGCTCTGCACTCCTGCCCGAGGCCCGGGGTAGGCAGGTGCTGAGGTGGAACTAGCAGTGGCCTTGAGAGAAGGACAGGACTAGCTGAAACAGAGAGCAGAGGAGCTCGTCCGTGTGGGCTCAACAAAGCAAACAGAGACAGAGTCTAGGACGCACTTGGCAGGCGAGGAAAACCGTGATTAGAGAGAACAGCCTTGGGAGCTCATTCCAGACACAATTCAGCATGACGCAGGCCCTTCCCACTGGCTGGTCTGTGGCTCCTCGTGTATCCAGCTGTCTCCCCACAAGCCGGTTCACATCTCGAGACCATGTTTATACCTTCGCCCTACCCACCACACAGCAATATCTCCGAGACGGCTCGTTAAGTGAAAAACACACTGCCACCCAATTTAACTGCAAACTCCTCCCAAGCTTAAAAATAATACAGGGCAGAATTTCAAAGTTGGTTCTGTGGGCCTGTCTCCTGAGGTGTTGAGAATGGGTAGACACTTGCCCGAGTTAATTATTTGCTCGGGCAGGCTTCCTGGCAAGCAGAGGCCTAGTTAAAAATCTAGACCCTCGTGCAGAATTTTCCAACAGAATCTGAACTTCTAGGCCACTGCACCTCCGCTCCCAGGAAGGCTCCATCTTTTTCAGGGCTCCAAACACTGCAGGGCTTTCTGGCTGACAGTGAAGTGTATGTGGGCATCACACTGAAAGCCATCACTCTTGCCATCAATTCTGGTGCGTTCTCCCCTGGATATCAATGGTGGGCATCGGTTGTCTTTGTCTGCCCAGCACCCCCTTTCCCTAGGAGTGGCCAGTTAAATGAGGCCTGGCAGAAATGGTACCCATTACCCCTTCCACCTATGGGGCAAGGTTTGAACATGTGGCCAAGCAGAGGCCTTCCGTGCGTTTGCAAAGTGGGCATGGATAGAGAAATGGCTTCTCTTGCTTATACATCATGAGCAATAAGGATGCCAGCTGGGGCTGCTGCAACCATCTTCCTGACACATGGCAAGAGCCTCAGAACAAAGTCGACACTCGCAGGGAAATCCCCAGGAGGTGGAGAGACGAACAGAGCCCTGAAGGCCACTTGAGCCTCTGAACCCACTTGTGCCTTGACATTTCCAGTTCTAGGAGCCATTATAGTTTCTGGGGAAATGGCTGGAGTTGAGTTTCTGAACTTTCAACAGAAACTTTGCGGCAATCCACAAAGACAGTAGAGTGGAAATGAAGGTACCTGCCTAGGGGCTGGCAGCTGACTGGGGAGATGTGACCTAAACATATGAAGTGATTAGAACAGGCAGCACTTAAGCTACCAGGAGAGTTTATGATTCATTACCAGATGAACTATTACTATCTGCTACGTGAGATGCTGAACTAAAAGTCACCACCCACTGGCTCAGGGGTTGAGTGGATCAATATTCTGTGTAGAAACTGGTCCAGAGAGGCTTGGGGGGCATCTCAGGCAGGCTTCTGATAAGGTAGGGGCGACGGGCTCCTGACCTTTACTGCCTATTACCCACTCCTGAAAGCCCCAGAACTGGGCTCCCGCCTCATTAACCCACTGCACTACACTTTGAGAAAAGCTATGGACCGCCTTCCAGGAAGTGCCTGAACATGAAAACATCACATTTTTGTAAACAATTTCAGGGATCTTACAGACTTCTGAAGCCCATGTAGGGACCCCCCTAGGGACTCAGGGACTCCCTATTAAGAACTTTGTCCTATTGAAACCAGACTCCGAAAGGCAGCAGCCTGAACATGGAATCGTCGTCACATTGAGTAGCTTTTCCTCAATCACTTGATTGTTCTCACTGCCCAGTCTCTGTGGGGACTGGGTTTCCATGTGCTCTCCTTGAACCACTCGGTGGTTTTCACAGAGACCGCAGTCTCCTGGGCCTCTGCCCACTGCTGTGCCCCATCTCCTGAAAGAGCGAGAGGAATGGAGGCCCCGGCTTTGTCTGCACAGCACTGCTGCTCCTTTGGGACCTGACCTTCCCCTCTGGCCTTAGAGGTCACTCCAAGGACCCTCACCTCCCCCCACCCTGGCCATCACTGTCCCAAGCTGGGTCAGCTACAGTTCCTTCCCTGGGGAGTTTGAAACCGGGGCCAAGCAGGAAAGCAGCCTCCAG